TTCTGGCTCTCTTCCACCTCTTCTTTTTTGATAGGTTGACGGCAGAGGCACATAACAAACATGGCGTCGTTTAGTCTAAATGAAATTAATAAATTTATGAATGCAGATATATTAGAATGTGAGCTGTTTTATAAACGTTTTTGTGGTATGACAGCCTTAGTAGGACATCCCTGTAGGACGATAAGCTGGATAAATATAAGAACTACACAGACAATAACAGTTAAGGGACGATTATTTGATATTCTAGGGAAGGGATTTTGATTGATTGGTGTTTAACGCTACTTTCAACACTATTGGGTTATTCCGTGGTGGTCAGTTTAAATTTATAGATGAAGGATGGGGAAGGGAAGAGAGGGCATTATTATTCATTTCAATCTGTCGCTAATCATGCCTATTTTTCAGCTCTTACCAGGCAACCATATTCATATATGAAATCCTTCTGTCCCCCACCCCAACAAATAAATAAATATCAAATGGTTTTCCTCTTATTTAACACAAGTTTAAATTGATTGATTGTTTGTTGCTAATTTTAACGCCCAGTGAAAATTATTTCATGCTTGTTCAGGAAAACACGAGTTTAGAAGTCACGTATATAATATAAAAATTTAAGAGATGGAATATGATTGCTAATAAGGCAACTATCCACCGGAGTTCAAATATGAAGTGGATGTAAGCAATTATAGATAAGATAAGATAAGATAAGAAAAATTTATTTTAAGTCGGGTTACATGAAATACTACAAACATAATCTCTGTAGGGCTTCTTGCCGTCATGTAGACAAATGCTTTTTGTAGACAATCGTAAGGCCTTCAACAATGACAAAAACCTGATACTGTAAAGTCGTCTATAAAAGGCCCGACATGAAAAGTGTGAAAAATTCAAACGAAAAAACTAACAGCCTAATTATACATAACAAAACAATTTACAAAATATCAAATATGAGTCGAGATAGGAACCAACGACAACCACTAAACTACAGGCTCCATCCCTGGGACAGGCAAATAAAGAATATGGCAGGGTGGATATAAAAACGAAGATGTGGTATGATTGCAAATGAGACAACTCTCCACAAGAGATCAAATGACACAGAAATCAACAGCTATAAGTCACCGTACGGCCTTCGACAATAAGCAAAGCCTACACCGCATAGTCAGTTATAAAAGGCCCCGAAATCAAAAATGTAAAACAATTCAATCGAGAAAACTAACGGCCGAATTAATGTACAAAAAAAATGAACGAAACATAAATATGTATAACAAAGCAACAAACGTCAACCACTGAATTACAGGCTCCTGACTTGGGAAAAGCACATACATACAGAATGTGGCGGGGTTAAACATGTTAGCGGGATCCCAATCCTCCCCCTAATCTGGGACAGCGGTGTAACAGTACAACAACATGTTTGTCAGCAACCCATCCCGAAGCTGGGACAGTGGTGTAACAGTACAATAAAATAACAACCTGCACAAATCAGCAAATTAACTCAAAAGATCGGTACGAGACACACACAAAAAAAATAACATTAAGACAATAGACACAAAGCACCGACATAAGAGTATTTGCAATTACTGGAAGTTTGCTCAAACCTAATTACAACTGGTACTGAAATAAATCTTGTTCTCCCAGACTGAGTTATCAATCAGTACACAACGCGCGGCAAAGGATTTATTAAAAAAAGAAAACAGTCTGAGAAACGTCTAGTTTACGTTGTATATAGATATAAGAAGATGTGGTATGAGTGCCGATGAGACAACTTTCCATCCAAGTCATAATTTGTAAATGTAAACCATTCAAGGTCAACGTACGGTCTTCAACACGGAGCCTTGGCTCAAACCGAACAGCAAGCTATAAAGGGCCCCAAAAAATTAGTAGTGTAAAACCATTCAAACGGGAAAACCAACGGTGTCTAATCTATTTAAAAATAAACAGCTGCGCCATGAGCGCATGATACGCCCGTCGTCTTGTGTGTGAATTTTTATGCAATAAGCATAAATAGTTTCTGACATACGGCGTGACATGCGAAAACCCCCCCTTTTTTTTTACAAAAAACTCCATATCTCTAAAATAAAATTTTGAATCAAAACCAAAAAGTATACAGATCTTAAGATTAATATAACTAAGAAGTGTGTAAAATTTTAAGCAATAATCATAAATCGTTTTTGAGATACGGCGCGACATGTGAAAAACCCCTCCCCCTTTTTTTACAAAATACTCAATAACTCAAAAATAAAATTTTGAATCATCACCAAAAAGTATACAGATCTTAAGATTAATATAACTAAGAAGTGTGTAAAGTTTTAAGCAATAATCATAAATTGTTTTTGAGATACGGCGCGACATGTGAAAAAAAAACACACACCTGTTTTAGTTACTAAGTCCCGTAACTCAAAAAGTTTTAATCTTATTATCACCAAAAAGTATACAGATCGTTTGACCATCATAAGAAACAACTATGTTAAGTTTCATGAAATTTGGATAAGTCATTCTCAAGTTACGGTGCGACATGTTTACGCCGGACAGACAGACGGACAGACAGACAGACAGCCGGACAGACAGACGGACGGACAGACAGACGGACAGACAGACAGACAGACAGACAGACAGACAGACAGACAGACAGACGGACGGACGCCGGACATTTGTATACCATAATACGTCCCGTCAAAAATTTGACGGGCGTATAAAAACGATATACTTGCATATAAATCCATATACAATGAAACGGTTTTTGAAAAGTGGACCGAACGTTTTGACCATCGAAATTTTGCAATAGAAATACTAGTTATGACCACAAGATTTTAACAGCCAGTGCAGGACTTGCACGAACGTTAGATTTAGTTAGAGGGGCGATATTCTGACGCGATTTTTAATTCTTGGTTTAGAAAGAAAGGGGAGAAATCCAAACAATTACCGACCAATCACAAACGTTGTTGCAAATTTGACCTTATGACGTCAAAGAATATCCCATAATGCAATTATTGCATATAAATAAAAAAACTACTATACCAATTAAATAAAAAATATTGCATTCAAATGACATTTTATACCAATTGAATAAAAAATATTGCATTTGAACGAAAATTATACCATTTGAATGAAAAATTATACCATTTGAATAAAAAATTATACCATCTGAACAAAAAATATTGCATTTAAATGAAAAAATATACCATTCAAATAAAAAAATATTGCATTTAAATGAAGAAATATACCAATTAAATAAGAAATATTGCATTTAAATGAAAAATATCAAATTTTTGCAACCAATACCATGCCATAGATATATGCTTTTTCCTTTGACATAGGTTTACCAACTGAACTCAAAATAAAATAGTAAACGATACTGTTATGACTTGCAAACATGTCCGAGATATCCTATTTTCCATTTTAAGATAAATTTTAGAATACAACAGTAGGAGATCGATTCCTTAAAATGAGATATTAGAAAACGATGACAAATCAATTCAATTTCATTCAAAGTTTCATTTATATTTGAAGTCAATATTCAATAAACAAAGTACAAAACACAAGCTTTAGTGATTTAAAAATCGACTACATAACAAAATATACAAACATATATACATGAATTGTTAAGTATATTGATCCAATATCCACCCGTTCATTGTATGGATCATTTTTCCGACCTTAATAGATAATAGATAAAGGATGACATCCGAACGAGTTACCTGGAATATTATTCCGAAAGCACTCGAAACATTGTACACGTAGCACGTAATAAATGTTAGGTCGGAAATGTGATCCATACTATAAACGGTTGGCTATTGGATCAATATACTTTATAGCACATCTTTATACCACTCAATACAAAATGGCGGGAAAAAGCTGACTCGGACTTTTACCTCATATAATTGCATTGGTATTATTTGGGTCTCAAATCGAAAGAAAAGAAATCTAGAATCTGCTTAAATTTTGGTAAATGACCTTTTATGAGCTATTGAAGTCTTATATATATGAAAAGAAAAATGGGTGTTACGGGACAAAATATTTTACCCTGTATCGAAGGAAAAAAACCAAGGAGTCCGAACATCTGACACAAATTCCTAAACCTGACCTAAGTACATCCTTAAGATGATAAATGTCATTATCCATGAAGTAGTATAAAAACTGCACGCAAAATATTTTTAATATATTAATAACATATTAAAAAAAAAATAAGCACAGTAGCTAAGAGCAACTGAAAAATCAAAATAAATCAATCAGTCTACACATACTTTACATTTTTTTTTTTATACTGACTTTATCAGCAAGAATATAAAGAGAGCCTGATAGGGCGAGCTGATATTCGAGCTGATAAAGCCAGTATCAAAAACAATAAAATGTCATTATTCTTTTTATAGGCAATTTATCTTAAAGATATGTTTTTCTTGTTGAGAATATTGAATAAAATGAAATACATGCAGTTATAAAACTATTTTTATAAGTACAAAACGTTGTGATAGTTGTTCGGTTGTATGAATTTCATTGATAAATTGACGCGGATAGACATAAACACGTGACTTTGCTAAACTGATACGTGCCTAATATTTTCGAGTATCAGGTCCATGATCTTAAAAATATTAAGCAGTAAGATCAAAGGGAAAATGTAGAAATTGCCAATGAAATACACTATCCTAAATCAATTTTGTTTTTCATCTTTCAAATGGGGAAAACCCACATCTAAAAATAGTGCTTCATTTCCTGAAAATCTAAAGTGTTGACGACAGATGGAAAAAATGTATTAGATAAATTCCATTTGTAGTAATATCGGTTGATATTTATCGACTTATATATCCTTATCTCTTTTATATATGTTAAAACCATTAAATTGTTGAATAGTTAAAAAAAATTAAGCAGAGTCTACCATTGCAATGTTATATCCTGAGTACAGCAACAAAAATATAAACAATTAAGACTATAAGGTGGACACAACCACAAAAAACATTAATCTGAAAGACAATTTTGAATCAATTCTCAAACTTATTTGTACATTATATGTTTACCTTTTCATTTTCTTCATGTATTAACCATCTACGTGGTTTTTCCATTATCGATCAAATGATAAATGTACGATTACACACATCTCTGATCAATGTAATGATTATTGTGATGCATTTCGAAATAGAATTGAGAATGGAAACGGGGAATGTGTCAAAGAGACAACAACCCGATCAAAGAGCAGAAAACAGAAAGTCCACTAATTGGTCTTTAAGTTTAACGCAGCGAGAAATTCCCGGCTTCAGCTGACCCCTTAATAATGTATACTAGTTTAGGGAAATGGACGCCACACTAAACTCAGAAACATGTAAATGAACCAAAATTAAAAAACACAAAAGACTAACAAAGGGCAAAACATGGTTATTTTTGCGAATCTTACATTCATCTATAACTGATCTAATTGTAAATTTACATTGCATGAATTATTTAATCATGTATCATGTTTCTACATAAATTATATATAATTACATTGCATGTATGTTTCATTATAATACGTTAGTTTGATTGGCTAACAGCAATCTCGCGTCATTCTGAAAGTAACCTTCATTTCAAAATGAATCAGTTGTATTCCATTTATGATGACACGAGCTTCCACAATAAAGTACACAGGTAAATAAAAGAAAAACTTGATGGAAATCGTGTTTTCATGATCCTAGCAATGCGATGGCTGAACACGTGGATGTTGTACACATATGTTTACTCAATATTTTCTTGCTAAAATATTCATATTAAAACCACTATGTTCATAGTCCGTTATTATAATTTGAAAAAAAAACAACATGTTCAAATGTTTACATTAACAAATACTTTAGGTTTACAACTTCTCTCAAAGCACTGATATAAAACTCGAAGTTGCAGTAATCGATACAAAATAGCCATAGTGCGCGGGTCTATATTATAAAAAATGACGGAAAATCGTGTCTTTTAATGAATTCCTTTAACCTGATGACTAATATATATTACAAGTAGTCATCCCCGTTTCTTCCGGTAAAAAGTTGCCTTTACTTTGCATGGGCAACTGTGAGGAGGTACATTTTGAGGAATAATTGTAGTAATATTATATTACTGTATGCAATATATACTAGTATATATAGAACAAAAATTTGCTTCCGCAAATTTGCAGATTCAACATTGTTGTGCTGATATTTAGAGTAATTATTTCTAGTATATATATATATCAATATATATACAAGTCTAAATTGAAAACAACGTTCAAACCTATGATTGCGTTGGATAAAAACCGAAATTTTTATACGTGTGCCAGCAAAACAAATTTCTTGGTAGAGGGGTTTAAATACAGCACAGACAACATTTTCCAAAAGTCCAAAAAAGGGAAATTATAAATGATCATGGCGTTGGAACGTAACTGTAGAGGAGGTTTACTATAGAATATATCAAATAGTAATCAATGGAAAAGTATACAGGTATTTGTGCTATCTAGTTAAAATCAAATTGTCAGACAAGACAAATGCCTTTACAAATAATCATTTAGTATATGTAATATTATGCATTTAAAAATATATAATGTATCTATAATGGGTCCAGATTATTTGTTTTATATATATTTTTTGAATTGCTCATAACAAATTTCCAACCACAAGAGGGATGTTATATAACAATCAACTATTTCTGTTCAAAATTGAAACTGTATCTAAACTTAAGACCTAAACAATATTGTTAAGTGGTGTTTACTGCAAGACCTTTCAAACTCAAAATTTAAAGTATTTGCTTGAATACTTTTTGTCCATTACTTTGTTCAAGTAGAAGGTATATGGTCGAACTGTAGAATTTAATTATGTTTTGAATGCAACTCGAGCATGTAGAACTGCATCAGATCATCAAAAATTGATAGAAATAATTTTCTATTTCCAAAAGTAAAGGGAATTAAATATCTGTCAAAACATTTATAAACACAAAGAATGCACGTAAAAAAGTAGAGCAATGTGACTTTAGGTTTGCCATTTCTAGAAATCCTACACGCATTTTCTTTAAACAAATTGATTTCTGTTGCATTTATAAACGATTTTAAATAGTGTTGTATAATTAGTTTTCTTTTACAGCTGTTATCATAATGCTAGCAAGTTGAAGGTTAGGTTGGCTTGCTTGCTTTGTTTGTATTAATGTTTGTTCAAGCATTGTAATTAAGATTGACATCTGAAAACCATATATAAAGGCAGAGTTAAACTTGTATACATTATACTTTAATTTGATTGGACACTATCAAATAATCATATTTACCTATATACTGGTTTAAATCCGCCTACTTATATTGTTTGCAGATGTCAATCTTAATTACAATGCTTGAGCAAACATTAATACAAACAAAACAAGCAAGGGAAGCAAGCCAATCAAACTCTTACTCTGCATGCATTTGGAAATCGACTGTAATCATTTATTGTTGACACCAGTGCATTCAAAAATAAGAAAATTTAAAGAAGATACCAAAATAGCAATAACAAAGTTGAAAAGGACAAACAAGCATCATAACCAAGTGAAAAAAAGACGAAAAGGCAAAATGGGTTAATACTACCCAACAACAACAAAAGTTGAACAAAGATTCTAATGTTCAAGTTTTACAGAATGCGTTATAATGGGTATTTCAAATATATACATGAATAAGAAATGAATGCTTTTTTTTTGTAATTCAATTGGGGTGTAAAAGTGTTTAGTGAAGCACATTTTGTATGAAGCGCGGAAACGCACCTTACTAATAATGTGCACACGATCAACGCTTTTACAATCCTATAAAATAGCAAACAGAAGCATTAAATTCTTACAATTACATTTTTATACGGCTGCAAAATGTTTTGCGTCCATATTATGTTATGGCGATGTCTGCGTCTGCGTTTGAAGACATTTTGGTTCGCAGGCAATAACTTGAGTATAAGTGTATGGATCTCTATGAAATATTAGCACAAGGTTTGTTGGGCCAAAAAAGGTCAGTTTTACTGGTTTTTGGATCTATATGAAATTTAAGCACAAGGTTCCATACCACAATAGGAGGGTTGGGATTGATTTTGGGGGTTATTATTACTGTTTTGTAATTACGGGCCAGAAAGGGACCAAAAACAAATTATTTGTCTGATTTAGGACAATAACTTGAGTATAAGTGTATATATCTTTATTTAGTTTTAGCAATTTTAGTAATTAGGGGCCAAAAAGCGTTTTTCTTGTTTCAGGGCAATAATTTGTGTATAAGAGTATAGATTTCTATGAAATTTTACCACAAGGTTCCATACTTCAAAAGAAAAGTTGGGATTGATTTTTGAGGTCATTCCCCAAACCGTTTAGGAATTATGGCCGAAAAGGTGCCAATAAGGCCACACCAATTTGATAAATAGTTCTTTGGATTTTCCCGCTCCTTTTTTGGAGAAATTGACTTTTCAATAAAAAAAAAAAAATTACCGCTTCCGCAAATTTTTGGGCCGCATGCCGCTCCAAATTTAGTTTCTCTTTGAATTTTTTTTTTTTTTTCACATAGACGTTTTTCTTGTGCATATATTGCTCCCATCGATTCAAACCCACGTGTGATTAATCGAATTGTGAATAGAAGGTCAAAAATCATAGAAGCCTAAGAAGGTCAAAAATCGGGATGTCAACATGTAGTTGTGTCAGCTCATTGCCTTGGACAAGTAGTTACTGGACACACAGTTATCCGAAATGCATCTCGTTTTATCTTTGAAGATCTGTTCTAGGAGACAAATATTAGAAATCTGTCTTTAGATAACCACGATCACATCAATGTTCGTTTGAACCATTGTCATCTCCGATCATTGTTTCAACAGACATAGACCTGAATCTGAATAAGTACTTTGCAGGGCCAGGATATGGCATCAATGGCAACGGAAGAGCTGGAAAATTAGTCCAACGACGTGAGAGCAACCGAAGTTTTAAAGATCTCAATTGTCTTGGCAAACACAAGATTGTTTGGTAGTCTATTCCAATAAAATATTGTTCTTACAAAGAATGACTGTTTATGTTGAGGGTCTATATTGTTTATATTTGCTAGGTGGAATTTTGAAACACCGGCTGCTGTTTTGTACAAATTTATCTACAATGTTGGTTGTTTTATAGACCTATCTATCTTGGATGAAATTAATATTAAATTCCATGAATTTTGAAAAAATCACAGATTTATCTTATTATGATGAAACCTCATATCCCCTTGTTAGTCTATTGGTATGCAAGCAGAACTCTTTTGTAAGGGAAAATTTAAGAGTTCCAACGTTCGAGACCAAAGTGGTGGTATTGTGATGGGCATGCTCATAACAATTAGGGATGTGTAATTGGTTCAACCACTTCTAGTCAATTAAGCTAAAGAGTTTAAAATGCATTGCAGCTTTTAGGAGCAAAAGGAAAGAGTATTTTGCTGTCAGAATAATGCATGTGAATGTGGTGACAGGTATTTAAGGGAATATTTTAATACATTGAGATCTACATGCATAGCAATATAACTATCTTACTTATGATGTTGTTGAAATATTCACTTCACCCATTATGTTGATCCTTAGTATGGATAAATAGTTCCAAGTGGACATCAAGCAGCCAATAAACAATCATTACCATATATAGATATAATGAAAACAACAATATCAAAAAATATTTAATATTTTTCAGGACCATTTTTTTTTTGGATACATACACATATTTAAATTTAATTCAACATATGTCATTTACCTAACTAACATAATTCCTCTTGTTAAACTGCATTTGCTATGCTTCCTTAATATATACACATTTTGTATCATTTTTTATTTTAGTTTCTTGTGTATAATTTGGAGTTTAGTATGACGTCCATTATCACTGAACTAGTATACATATTTGTTTAGGGGCCAGCTGTAGGACGCCTCCGGTTGCGGGAGTTTGTCGCTGCATTGAAGACCCATTGGTGGCCTTCGGCTGTTGTCTGCTCTATGGTCGGGTTGTTGTCTCTTTGACACATTCCCCATTTCCATTCTCAATTTTACATGTATGAATTTTAATAAAAATTCACGCAGACAAATATAAAAAAGAAGATGTGGTATTATTGCCAATGAGACAACTCTCCACAAGAGACTGCATTTGCTATGCTTTCTTAATATATACACAT